GTACACTGAAAACTACAAAGTGTTGCTGAAAGAAACTATAGAAGATATAAATAAATGGAAAGACATTCCATGTTTACAGATTGGAAATTTCCATATTGCTAAGGTGTCAATACTACACAAAGAAATCTATAGATTTAATGTAATCCTTATCAAAATCTCATTGGGATCTTTTATAGAAATAGAAAAGTCCAACCTACTTTCACATGGTATCTCAAGGGACTCAAATAGTCAAAACAATCTTGAAAAAGAACAAAGTTGGAGGACTCATGTTTCCTGCTTTCAAAGCTACAGTAATCAGAACAGGGTGGTACTGGCTTAACAACAGACATGTAGACTGATGGAATAGAATAGAGAGGCCAGAAGTAAACCCTCACATATATCATCGGATGACTTTAGACAAAGGTGTTAAGACAATTTCACCGGGAAAGGACAGTCTTTACAACAAGTGGTGCAACTAGATATCCACGTGTAAAAAGATGAAGTTGGACCCTTACCTTAAATTGTATACAAAAATGAACTCAAAACTGATCAAAAACCTAAATGTAAGGGCTAAAGCTATAAAACTTTTAGAAGAAAGCTCCATGACATGTATTTAGCCATCATTTCTCAGATATGACACCAAAAGCACAGGCAATAAAAGTTAAAATAGACAAATTGGACTAGATCAAAATTTAAAACTTCTATGCATCAAAGGACATAATCCACAGAGTGAAAAGGCAACCCATGGAATGGGAGAAAATATTTGCAAATCGTGTATCTGATACGGGCTTAATATCCAGAATAGACACAGAACTCCTACAACTCAACAACAACAAAAAACAAACAACCCAATTAAAAAATGGGCCAAAGACTTGAATAAACATTTCTCCAAAAAATATATAAATGGCCAACAAGTACATGAAAAGACGCTCAACATCACTTATCATTAGTGAAATGCAGATTAAAACCACAATGAGACACCACCTTATACCCATTAGGATGGCTATTGTTTTTAACAAAGAAAAAAGAAAAGAACAAGTGTTGGCAGGGATATGGAGAAATTGGAACCTGTGTGCACTGTTGGTGGGAATGTAAAATGACGCAGACTATGGAAACAGTATAGCACTTCCTCAAAAAATCTAAAAATTGAATTACGATATGATCTAGCAATTCCGCTTCTGGATATATACCCCAAAGAACTGAAAGCAGGATCTCAAAAAGATATTTGTACGTTCACGTTCATAGCAGCATTATTCACAATAGACGAAAGAAGGAAGCGACCCAAACGCCCATCAACGGGTGAATAAATGAATAATATTTGGTATATACATACAACGGAATATCATTCAGCCTTAAAAAGGAAGGCGGTTCTGATACGCACTACAATGTGGATGAACCTTGAGGACATTATTCTAAGTGAAATAAGCCAATCACAGAAAGAAAATATTGCAGATTTCCCTTATATGAGGGACTTAGAGTAGTCAAATTCACAGAGACAGGGAGCAGAATGGTGAGTACCAGGGGCTGGAGGAGGAATGGGAATTGCTGTTTAAAGGGTATAGAGTTTCAGTGTTGCAAGATGAAAAGAGTCCTGGAGGTTGGTT